TCGAGTTTGATTTATATGTCTTGGTGATTTTCTTTTGGGGTCTATCCTATATGGGGTTCGTTGAGCTTCTTGGATGGTCAGCTTTTCATCTTTCATGATATTAGGGAAGTTTTCTGTCAGCAAATCTTTAATGATCCTCTCTGTGTTTTACTTTTTCTCCCTGTGTTCTGGGACTCCGATCACATGCAAATTTTTGCTTTTGATTGTATCCCACATTGTTCTCAGGGTTTCTTCATTCTTTTCTTTGATTTTTCCTCAAACAAAGTGTTATCCAAGGATTTGTCTTCAATTTTACTAATCTTGTCTTCTGTTGTTTCAAATTTGCTCCTAAAACCTTCTATGGCATTGTCAGTTTCTGAAATATTGTTATTTATCTTTTGAATTTCTAATTGCTTTTTTTATGATTTCTAATTGTTTATTCATTTTGATATTTTCTTCCTGTATTATTTTCCTGAATTCTTCCATTGTCTTGTCTGTGGTTTCCCTGATTTTGTCTGTATTTTCTGTGATTTTTTTTCTATTTTTTCCTTATTTTTGTCTTCATTTTCCTTCATCTGTTGGATAACTCTGAATATCTGAGTTTTGAATTTCCTATCAGGTAGTTCTAGTGCCTTTTCTTCTACCAGAAGGTCATCTGGGGTTTTATTCTGATTGCTTTCTGGAGCTGTCCTCTCCCGTTGTTTTATATGTTTTGATATTGTTTGCTGCCTCTGGGACATTCAGGAATTGTTTTCTTTGTTTATTGATTGTAGAATCATCCTGCTTTTTGTTTTATTTGGTTATGTCTGGGCAGGCGGGCTGGGGTTTGTTTTGTTGCTTGCTTGCCTGTGGGCACGATACTTCTCACCACCTTGTCCAGGTGGGCAGGCCGTTCACTCAGCTGTGGTGCTGCAGGGAAGATACAGCAGTGGTGGAGGAGCAGGATAGGTAGTTTTCAACACAAACTGGGGTTGACAGAGTGGGGCCAGGGTTCAGTGCAGGGTGGAGTCTGGGGGACCTTGTTGCTGCCACTTGGGGGTGCGGCACTCAGTGCACAGTGCAGTTAGGCAGGAGGGAAAGGAGAGGATGTGATGTGCTTAGCTAAGTGGGTGGGTGAAAGAAGAGAGAGAAACAAAAACAAAAAGCAGAAAAAAATGAAGGAAAAAAGTAATAAAATGGCTGCATGGTAGGATTTGGCAGATGGGGGCAGGGCAGACCCGGTGAATCTGTGTGCTGGTGGCTGTCTGGCTGAGTGATGTGGCTCAGTCTGTTGAGAAGGGATATGGGCAGAGCACAGGGCTAGGTGGGCAGGAGTAAGGAAGGGAAAGAAGTACAACTACTCCAAGTGTGAACTACCCCAAGGAGAAGAAACCAACCAACCAACAAAAAAATAAATAAAAAATAATAAATAAAAATAACAACAACAAAATATATATGGTGGTGGGGGAGCTGGCTGTTGAGGCTGGGCGAAATTGGTGTGATGGGGAGCTGCTGTCTCTCTTGACAGGTGGCATGGCATGGCCCATCAGGAAGGGGCGGAGGCAGCGCAGGGCCTAGGTGGGTGGGAGACAGAAAAAGGAGAAGGGGAAAGATAAAGAAAAACAAAAAATATGGCACTGAGAGAGCCGGCCTGTGGGGTAGCGCAGACCCAGGGAGACCATGTGCTAGAGGCTCTCCAGCTGAGTGATACAGCACAGCCCCCCAAGAAGGAGTGGGATGGTGCACAGAGATAGGTAGGTGGGAGAAAATACAGGAAGGAAGGCAAACCAAAGACAAATAAATAAATTGGTGCGCAGGGAGCTGGTCTGTGACGGTGGTGCAGACCCGTGGAGGCCACTTGCAGTGACTATTCAACTGAGTGGTGCAGCATGGCCCCTTGAGAAGGGGCAGGGGCAGTGCACGGGGCTGGGTGGGCAGGAGAAAGGAAAAGAAAGAGGGAAAAAAAGAACAAAGCAAACAAACCAAAAAATCACAGCCTGTCAAGAAGGGGAGGAGATGGCACACGGGGCTAACTGGGCAGGAGAAAGGAAAGGAAGGAAGGGAGATTGAGAGAGAAGCAACAAAAAAAGCCAAAAATAAAAATAAAAATAAAAAAACAAACAAAAAATGGCACTGAAGGGGCCAGCCGGTGGGAACAGGGTGGACTCCAGCAGCAGTGAACTGTTGTCTCTCTGGTGGAGCAACCGTGGCCCGTTAGAAAATGGCAGAGGCCGTGCAGAGGGAAGAAGGCTGGGGAGTAATAAAGCGTGTATCCCTGGTTACTGAGTGTTCTGTTTCCTGTTGGGAGCTCTGTGAAGTTTCCTTCCCGTACTCCCCATCTGTAGTCCTTGGTGGCTGAGGTCCAAGATAGTGAATCTAGGCAACAGTGAGCTGGTTTCTCTCCAGCAGAGCAACTGTGGCCCATTGGAAAGCTGCTGAGGTCTCATACAGGGAAGAAAGGTAGGGGGTGGGAAAGCGTGCAGCCCTGGTTACCAGGTGCTCTGTCTCCTGTTGGGAGCTCCGTGAAGTTGCCTTCCCGTACTCTCTGTCTGCTCTTGGCTATAGTCCAAGATGGCGAATACGTGCCGCATTAGCTGGTAGAGGACCTCCACTCCATAGCTCTTCTCATTCTCTGTTCTCTGTCAGTTTCCTGTTCCATTTGGTGCTTGATCCCGTTCTTTATTCCTTCATTTAATGCTTAGGGTTCCAGGATTGACATTTGTATCTGTTTTATTTAGTTTTTCGAGTTTTTGCTGCAGAGGGGCGGCATGGTACTTCTGTCTATAGGGCCATGTTGGCTCCATCTCTCCAATTGAGGCATTTTAAATGTTTCTAGGAATTCATCTATTTTATCTAGATTATCTGTTTTGTCGGCATACAATTGTTCGTAGTATTCTCTTATAATCCTTTTAATTTCTATAAGGTTTGCAGTAATGTTGCCACTTTCATTTCTGATTTTAGTTAGTAGTGTCTTTTCTCTTTTTCTTTGTCAGTCTAGCTAGGGGTTTGTCAATTTTGTTGATCTCAAAGAACCAAGTTTTGGTTTTGTCGATTTTCTCTGTTGTTTTTCTATTCTGTATTTTGTTTATCTGTGCTCTAATCTTTATTATTTTCTTTCTTTTGGTTGCTTTGGGTTTAGTTTGCTCTACATTTTCTAGTTTCTCAAGGGGTAAAATTAGGCTATTGATTTGGGCTCTTTCTTCTTTTTTAATATAAGCAATTGATATATCTATAGTCTGCCCTTTAACCCTGATATCTATATCTGTTTAACTTGAACTTTATATTTTTATAGATTCAGCCTACCTTTTATATGCAACATTTTTCCTCAGTTCTCAGTTTTGATCCTAGTCCATATAACAATCCCTGTATTTACTGATAAGTCCATTGGTACAAGGGACTAGATGACAGTCTTAGCTGCCAATTAAAATCGATTGGCTTTATTGGCACTGTGATAAATCACCTCCCCTACATCTTTTGTGTTTTGATGGGGCCTCAGTCTCTACCTAGGGTTGTGATATTTGTTTGTTCACTATCTTGATGTGGAGGGACAGTTTCAGAGTCTTCCAGGTGGTCCTTCCAACCTTAAAAACTCCCATTCTGTGGGTCAGAACCAATATGAGGATGATGCTCATTACTGAGTTTATCTTTTCAAACTGTAACTCAGGAGCTAAAGAAATAACCACAGGATAGGTTTATGGTCTCTTGGGCTCACCATGAGGTGGACTCAGATTAAAATCCATTTATCACTCAACTTTAATAAGCATGCACTCTTACGAGTGAGTAATAGTAACATTATAGGTCCCCAAGAATTGGTGTTAGCTTAAAGTCCAGTTCCCCAGAAGTCTTAGTATTTATCTCCCCAGTGCACAAGATAGTAGGAAGGATGCAGTATGTGTTTGTGATATTATTGCATAATTCTTCCACATGACTATTAGGTTTCCTTTTTATTCAAAGGGCTCTACATTTGTAAATTGATTTAGGTCTGAAATCTGGACACAGAGCTGCCATTCTCTCTTCTGGTGGCTCAGGTCAATCCTATGTTTGCAGACCTAGAATGTTTTGGTTATTCAGATTAAATAGGGACCTTAGTGGGCTTCTCATGTCTTTTGGTCTTAGGAAACCCACGATCAGTTAGCCACCACCAAGGATGCATATTTGTGTATGAGATAATTCACACCTCAGAAACACGTGTTATATCAGAACAGACCATACTAAGATCTCCAGGTCAGCAAAAGTCAGAGTTGTAGAGACAGAGCAGTTGTGAGAATTGTTTTCTCCCTCCTGTAACTCTAGAAACCAAGATTATACATTCTACCTGTAAGAGAATATTGCTAGTTTAGAGAATATACTTTATTCAAGAAAGAGCTCTCCAGCCCCTTAGAGTAGACCCCAGTAGTCACTATAGCTGAAGATCAACCATTGGTGGATGATAGTATACATAATAAGAACAGTGAATACTATTATTTCAGCTTACTACCTGCTTCTTTCATGGTGAACTGAGTTCTCTGTCAGGAGCAACACTGGGAGAGATACCATGGTGTCCATAAAGCATTCAGTGAGGATAGATATTGGCATATACAGGGAAAGTTTGACCGCCTAAAATTCTGCTCAGTGGGAGGCTTTCCCTTCTTTAAGACCTTTAAGGTTCACTGGGACTATAATGGAGTCCCGGGGTGGTGCAAATGGTTAAGGTGGTTGGCTGCTAACTGAAAAGTTGGAGGTTTGAGTCCACCTAGAGGTGCCTTGGAAGAAAGGCCTGGTGAGAAAGTTGAAATTCATAGTTTTAAGAGAGTTACTCAGTATTCCACAAATACATACTCAAGAAAGATCAGAATAATAATAATAACAAAGATAATCGAAACCAAAAAACATACCTTGGTAGAAATGAAATAATTTTTTTCCAATTAATTTACAAGATTCAGTGGTCAGTCTTCTTGCTTTGTTTTAATACTTCTTAGGAAAGATTATTACTTTGATAATATGAATACTCATTTGTGATAATAGTAGTGATTATTCTATATGTACTTTTGTATTTTTAATAGGAAAAACTCAAAAGAGAGGCAAAAGAAAACACAGTTATTCTCAAAGACAAAAGAGACCAGGTAAGAGTCGTCGTATATAGTTCTCATAGTTTTCTTTATAACCAGTTTTTTTCTTTTTTTTTTAAATTGAACTTTACATGAAGTTTTACAGAACAAACTAGCTTCTCATTAAACACTTAGTACCTATATTGCTTTATGACATTAGTTAACCCCATGACATGTCAGTACTCTCCTTTATCGACTTTGGGTTCCCTATTACCAGCTTTCTTGTCCCCTCCTGCCTTCTAGTCTTTGTCCCTGGGCTGTTGGGCCCCTTTAATCTCATTTTGTCCTATGGGTCTGTCTAATCTTTGGCTAAACGGTGAACCTCTGGAGTGACTTCATTACTGAGCTAAAAGGGTGTCCGGGGGCCATACTCTCAGGGTTTCTCCAGTCTCTGTCAGACTGGTAAGTCTGGTCTTTTTTTAAGTTAGAAGTTTATTCTACATTTTTCTCCAGCTCTGTCCAGGACCCTTAATTGTGATCCTTGTCAGAGCAGTCAGGGGTGTTAGCCAGGCACCATCTAGCTGTACTAGACTCAGTCTGGTGGAGGCCATGGTGGATGTGGTCTATTAGTCCTTTGGACTAATCTTTCCCTTGTGTCTTTATTTTTCTTCATTTCCCTTGCTCCTGAAGGGGTTAGACCAGTGGAGTATCTTAGATGGCTGCTCACAAGATTTCAAGACCTTAGACGCTACTCACCAAAGTAGAATGTAGAACACTTTCTTTATAAACTATGTTATGCCAGTTGAGCAAGATGTTCCCTGAGACCATGGCCCCACAGCCCTCAGCCCAGTAATTCGGTCCCTCAGGGAGTTTGGATTTGTCCATGGAACTTCCATGACCTTACCCTGAACAAGTTGTTCTGGCTTCCCCAGTACTGTGTACTGTCTTACCCTTCACCTATTGTCTATTTAGTGTTTTTCCATTCCCACCCCACCCCTCCCCTCCCTCGTAACCATCAAAAATAGTTTCTTTTGGTGTGTAAACCTTTTTGTGAGTTTTTATAGTAGTGGTTTCATACAATATTTGTCCTTTGTGATTGACTTATTTCATTCAGCATAATGCCCTCCAGATTCATCCATGTTGTGAGATACTTCGCAGATTCATCATTGCTTTTTATCTTTGCGTAGGATTCCATTGTGTACCATAGTTCGTTTATCCATTCATCTCTTGATGGACATCTAGGTTGTTTCCATCTTTTTGCTATTGTGAACAATGCTGCAATGAACATGGATGTGCCTTTGTCTGTGTGATGGCTCTTATTTCTCTAGTATATACTCCTAGGAATGGGATTACTGGATCATATGGTATTTCTATTTGTAGCTTTCTAAGGAAGCACCATATCGTTTTCCAAAATGGTTGTACCATTTTGCATTCCCACCAGCAGTGCATAGGAGTTCCAGTCTCCCTGCAGCCTATCCACCATTTGTTATTTTCTGTTTTTTTATTTGTGCCAGTAATGCCGGGGTGAGATGTCATCTCACGGTGGTTTTGATTTGCAGTTCTCTAATGGGTAGTGATATTGAGCATTTCCTCATGTGTCTGTTAGCTGCTTGAATGTCTTCTCTGGTGAAGTGTCTGTTCATTTCCTTTGCCCATTTTTTAATTGGATTGTCTTTTTGTTGTAAAGCTGTCAGATTTTCCTGTATATTTTAGATATTAACCCTTTGTCAGATTTGTAATAGCCAAATTTTTTTTCCCAGTCTGTAGGTTCTCTTTTTACTCTTTTGGGGAAGTCTTTTGATGAGCATAAGTGTTTAATTTTTAGAAGATCCCAGTTATCTAGCTTATCTTCTGGAGTTTGTATGTTGTTAGTTATGGTTTGTATCCTGTTAATGCTGTGTATTAGGGTCTCTAGTGTTGATCCTATTTTTTCTTCTGTGATCATTATAGTTTTTGGTTTTATGGTTTGGTCTTTGATCCATTTTGGATTAGTTTATGTGTACGATGTGAGGTGTGGGTCCTTTTTCTTTTCTTTTTTTTTTGTGGATAGACATACAGTTTTGCCAGCACTATTTGTTAAAAAGATTGTTCCCCATTTGACGGACTTTGGGCCCTTGTCGAAGATCAGATGACTGTAGGTGAATGGATTTACATCTGGGTTCTTGATTCTGTTGCACTGGTCAATGTATCTGTCGTTGTACCAGTACCAGGCTGTTTTGACTACCATAGCTGTATAGTAGGTTCTGAGGTCAGGTAGTGTGAGTCCTCCAACTTTATTCTTCTTCTTCAGTAATACTTTACTTATCT